CCATCTGGGCCAGTGACTGAAACAAGGAAATTGCTAATCTCCCATATAGATTTGAGATCTGAAAAATAACTCCAAAGAGTGATGAAACATGTTTCTCAAGGCTGAAATTCCTTCTAAAACCTTATAGTGATAATTATTTTCATCTGCCAACAGACCTGAAAAACAAAAGACCCATGCCCTCCATGCCCTCCTTTCCACTCCTGGCAAACAATCTTCTGCCCAGTGTCCCAGGACCTTGTCCAGAAGTCATCACTTTCGTTATGAATTTATCAACACTCCTCTCCATCCAGCTGCTTAGAGAGAAGAATTTTAAATAAAGACTTTTCTTCACAGCCATTTGGTGTTCAGTTTCCTTTTTTGATATGCAAAGAAAGTGGTTCCTGGTGCCTGGCACAGCACCAGTATATGACACAGTCAAGTAGGTTATTAGAGATGAAAGCCTCGATGAAGGTAGGTGAGTGAAAGGACAGTTGTATCACTGCCTGGCTGTCTACTACATTTACATTTGGCAGGAGTTCAAATAAAACTGTTTATTTTGGGAAGTTATCTTTGCTAACAACTCTCCAAAGCAGTCACGAGTGTGATCTGTTGGACAGAAAACAGGTCCAGGAGCCAGATTGCCCTGTCCGCTGCCGACTGGTTGACTGGACTGGAAATACCTACCTGAGAAAAAGGCTCACCTACTTCCATAGGGCATCCTTCAAGTTTCTAAGGTGCATTTAAATCTTTAGATGAACGTTCCCATTCAGCCAGTCTCTGTCACCTAATTCTTCTTAATTAATGAGTGTGATTCTGAATGACAAAGATCCTCTCTGCAAATTGCATCAACTTTGGCAACCGCTGCTGCAAGTCCCAGCCCCAGTCAGATCACTCCATTTGCTCTCTGGAGTTGGTACCACCCTTCCCCAGACACAGTCTGTCTTTTAACACAAATTTCATTCCAGTTCCAGACCAAACACTCTATTGAAAGTGTCTCATTTGACTGAGTCTTCAAAATGAAGGCTTGGACTCTTGTGGAAGATATGGATATGTAATCTTTATTCTAAAACGAACTGATCTGCATAGTGCCAACTAGTTTAAAAAAAAAAAAGTAGTTGTTTCACTGGGTTTCTTTTCAGTTCATTTGTTATACCTGATTGCTCATAATTGAAAATCTAGTAGTATCTGCGTTCCTGACTCCATTAAGAAGCCACTCTACTTTCTTAGAATTGTGAAGTACTCCCCAAGCCTCTGCTAATAATTTGGCTTGACCTTTATTAAAGACCAAGCATTAGCTGGGAATTACATTTGGTGATCCCTTTGGTGATTGAGACTCAGTGATTTAGTGTAAATTATAAATAGTTCAAATGTTTCATTACGTTTATTCTTTATACAAGCTTTGTGGCCAGGTAAGCACTGACATGACATTCACTGTTAAATGATCTCATTAAACTTCTTAATTTAAGTGGCGCAACACTTCACCTGCCACATTATCCAAGGACTCCTGCACTGCACATTAAACATTCAACATCAATAGATGCTCTACCCTAGTTCACCTTGTTGGGAGTGAAATTTCAGTCCCTGAACATAAGGTTGACTACCTGATGCTGTTTGTCAGAGACAATAAATAATGCAAAAAGATATCCCTGTAAAATAAGAGGTTAAAGACATCAGTAAGACATCTTTCCCACAGAGTTCTGAAAGAGACTGTCAAAAGAAGACTTAAAACCGTGCCAGGAAAATTTAAAAAGCTGAGGAAAAGGAAGATTTTTTTTTCATTTCTTTATGAATGTAATGATTGTGAGAGATACCCTGATAGCCCTGAAGGCATGTGCTCTCTTTCTATACACAGCCTTAGAGCAAAAGGAGCAGAAGTAACAGAAACCCTCACCCCAAGCGTCATTTGCAGAGTCTATCTTAGCCATGCCATCCCTCACTTTCCTATGGAGAAAGTGCGATGGCTGAAGGGGCCCACGGACTCAAGGGACGGATGAGGCACCAAATCATTTCCCTTAGGCCAGCAAATGACCTATATGGCCTCCCAACCAAAGGAAAATATAGAATTTTGTTAGAGGGTTCTTTATGTCCGGACTGTGTTTGTTAGCAGTGATTTATGCCGCAGTAACACCTAGAAGCACAGGGATTAGGATCGCTTTTGTGCTAGGTGCTAGATCAAAAGGACAAGACTCCACCAAGGCTTCACAAACTAAACATTAAGGCATGAGGATAACAATAGTGGTCCCTGAATTTTCTTAGGTGCCCTATGCTTTATTTTATGCATTTGAACTGTTTCCCTCTCAAAATGAACAGTTCTAACCTTTTATTCTACCTTGAGTAGTACAGTCCTTGACATCTGCTTCTGGAGGTTTCTTCTGAGGAATGAAGGGCTCCTAGTAATCATAATGTAGCCTGTGAATATACCAGACTACTCTCTAGACAGATTTGGGCTTCATCATAGCAGTATTAACCCCACATACTGAATGTGTTTTTCTGACTTATAAGGCTGGATTAGTTTTTATCATCAGAAGAGAAGCAGTAAAGGTTTCCATGTTACAGATGGAATGGCAGATGGGAAGTGAAAGCTTAATGTGAAGCAGTACTGGATAAAAACTATTAATCCACAAAATTCATATGTTCTTATGCAAGGAAACCTAGCAAAAAACACTGCAATATGACTAACCAGCGCGAGAAGTGTAAACTGCCTCTAGCGCATTATCTGACAAATCAGGGCATGATGTCTGAAAGAAGAAAAAAAAGCCCCAAATACCCTATTTACTATTTCCTGGAAAAACAATCAGCTCTCTATGCAGCATGCAGAAAGGTAATGCCTTCCCAAAGATCATAAAGAATATTAATTTAGAGCAACTCCACTACGAAACCAAAATTGACTCATATATATTTTTGATGAGATAACATTTTATGGGGTTTATAGCTGTAACGTTATATATTCAAAAAATTTAACCGTACCTATAAGTCAATGCCATTAAAGTTGCAGCATCAAAAAAAGGCTTCTATTTTTTGCTGAAATGCACCATGTTGAGGGGAAGCATATTTTCCTCAGTCCTGGTAATAGCATATTTGGACAGAAGGGGAAGTGCACGTGTCGGATGACTGCCCAGCTGTCAAGAGCCCACCCTGCAATTTGGAGATGAGGCGCAAAGAAGCAGCACGTCTTTCAAGGTTTTCCACCATAAAGAAACAAACGACTGAAATTTTCCCAGTTGAACGGCACTTGTTTATAGAGTTTCAGTGATTTTAAGACAGAATTATTACAAAGAAGCCCTTAATGCAGAGTTGATTACAGTCTCCTCAAGAAAACCTGTGATTACTTATGGCTATGTCTATCAGTGACTAATCCCACTTGGCCCTGCAGTTAAATGTACTCCATGGGGTCACAGCCTCAGCATTACAGGAAGGTGTTTAGGGAAGAGTCTCGACCCCACAGACAGACAACGGGACACATCCACTGGAACATGATGTGTTTATACTCCCCTCACCCAGCAGGCATTCCAGCCACTTACTCTTCACACACCTCTAGAATTAATCTTCCTTGATTCAAATTCACATCGCCCATCTTTTCCTTTTTGGCCGTGTATCACTCTGCTGTTTATCAGCAGCAAAACATTCCGCACAGGGGAAAATGAATTATAGAAAATCACAAACTAGCTTTTCCCAAAACTCAACGAGATACACAGATTACTAAGGACCCTCTTTTACAACCACAGATACTACGTTAACACTTTTAAGTCACTTCCTGCTGGACACTGAAAGTGTCTGAATCAGATGCAACATGAAAAATCGGGAGTTCTTAATTCAACCCCCTATATTGTAATATCAATGTAACCTCTCTGACTCTTGTGATCTTCCCTCATTTTTCTCCTCAAAATGTGCTGCATTTCTCTGGCACTGCTTAGAGATGGGGACCAGCCATAAAGCCTTTCATCAGTTCTCACAAAATCCTTCCCAAGGCAAAAATTCACGTTGATTTGAATTTTCACTTCAGTGGGAATAGCAACTCCAGGAAGGGGCCCATAATTTGAGAGAGCTCTTATGGAAATCTAATCAGCAAAAGGCAATGAAAGCATCTAAAATTCTGTTTTTTCTATTAGTATTGAAAGCAAATTATGCCTTCACTCATTGGACAATTAGCCAATAAAGTTATTTCCCTTTTTCTCAATTCCTTTTAACATACAGCGAAATAGAAGTCACGAGGAGAATTTCCTCTTTTCCTCTTCTTGATAACTCCTATAGCCTAAAAGCAACAGTTTAACCACACTTGGAATTTTTTTTTTTTTAAGGACTATCTGCTTTTACATAATGTAGTAAACCTTACTGAACGCAGCTGTGGAGTCTGCGTTATGTAAATCCAGAAAGAATATAATTTCACTTAAAATCATAAGCCTTGTCAGGTGGTGACGTGCAAAGTTCTTTGCCTGATGCCGTCTGAATAAGGATATTCAGGCAACGGCTGGTGTTGAAGATATAATCGACTCCTAGCAACTTATTTGTCACTTCTGCTATCATTATCTTCTGCCGAAGAAGTACCAGAAAAAGGACAAGGAAAAATTATTTTCATTGAATCCATACTCACGTCTTCAACATTTTTTGAGGCATCAAATCAAACCACTGTGAAGGAGGAGTCTCTCCATGCCTGGGGTTTGTTTGCTTAGCTGCAATACTTACTGTAACTTTATTCTGCCCCTCTGGCAGATGCCCCATGCTGGAAATAACTCAACAGAGCAGCACCTACTTCTTCAGTAAAGTGAAGAATCAGTGCCCCTGACCTGCTCGCAGCCACAGACCCTCCTAGGCAAGCTGCGTAGAGGCACAAGGTACAGTCAAGCTTAGCCGTTGTTTCTATGGCAAAAGTGTGCATATGAGACACTAGCCTCACCAAGAGGAGTCTTCTGCCGTAAGACAGAAGAAACTCTGCTCTCAACTTCTTGCAGCACAGCACAGACTCGTTGTCCCTTATATCATTTCAGAGCAAAACGTGTACATTCTTAATATACTCATCATACCTGATTGGGTAGTCGGCAGCACTGAGGTTAATGAAGAAATCCCATGGCCAGTCATTCATCTCCATTAAGTCCCTCATGCTCTGCAGGTAGGTGGACAGAAGACTTGCTCCTCCCCAGATAGTTGCCATTCTCCAAGAAGTGACTCTCACATTTGGGTACTGACTGGCAAACTGGAGCACTTGCCGGTGTAAGTAATTGGATCGCTTTGTGGGAGGGGAAAAAAGAAGTAATACATTCAAGTTACTCTGTCCAGAATTGTCCCTCCTTGTATTCACAATCCAGCTCTACTTCTTGAATACTGCCATTTCCATATCAGTTCATTGCAACCTGGAGTCCATCCTACCTCCAGTAGGCAGAGGGCTCTGAAGGGGATGGGGGGTCCAAAGGACCACCTAACTGAGCTTTTCCATTGCTCTGCCCTAGCTTGCAAAGGTGCACAACCTTCTTTTGCTAACTTTTAATTTCGAAGTGTGCACAGCCCCCTCTGTTCTATTCTTTTTTTATTACTACAGTAATCACTAATCGCTGTGATTAACTCTTATTTATCATTTGTCATCAGTAGATTCCAAAGGGCCTTATTAATGGAGCTGACTAGTTACTACCCCATTTTACAGTGGGAAGGTAAAGCCATTAGTCCAAGGCACCTCAGTTCAGCTCCCCATCCAGCAGGCCACATCTGTCAGCCTACATCAACTTACCATATACTGTTACTAAATGTACAACAGACAGACATAGACAGATACTAGCAAAACATGTAAGGAGAAATAAAGGCTGTTACATAGGGCAGATAACAGGAAAAAAAAAAGAGGCTCCAAATGTGTAACAGATGGAGGAACAAAAAGTGATCTGGACTGTAAGCAGCAGAGGTAAAGAGAAGATGACAAAGATGGGTAGACTGACAGATGGCAAGACAGGCAATTTATAACCACTGATATATTACCTTGTCAACATGAATGTAATAAAAATGATCTTTATGGTAAATAGCCTTAAACATGCGTTGGAGCTGCCGAGAAGCTCTGCCATGAACCACCAAGACAAACGCGATCCTGACAGGGTTGGCTGGCATGTACTCCACAGAGTCCTCGTCCCACTGCACGTTGTTGTTGGCTTTTCCTGTTCAGAAACAAAACATAGGACATCTCTGAGCATATCTGCAGAGCAGCGATGCAGACCGCAGGACACATTTCACTTAGACTTGTTTTTCAAACAATTTCTAATTGCAGCGAGAGCTCACAAAAGGTGCCAGACCGCAGGCCACGGAGACCCCACTCCACCCTTCAGCGAAAGCGCACGCTCCCAAACACATAGGCAGCAACCGTGCCAGCTTCCCCGGCACTGCCCTGCCGGCGTGCTGCACCTGCGCCAGCAGGTATTAGCATGGAGAAGTACTCAGATGCTTATGATCATAAACTGAATCAGACCAGGCTCTACCAAACTACGCACATTTGCATCTCCAGAGAAATCACCTCAAAGTTTCAAAGCATGCAAAAAATTCCAAGGCCAGTTTCTCCCCACCTGCCCTCTTGCAAAAAAAGAAAAAAAAAAAGCCTTGTTTTATCAAAAGATCCTCATTCCTGCGATTGGAATAGCTCTGCTGAAAAGTGGGAGAGACTCTGTGACTTAACAGTAGCCAAGGATTTGGCTTATTATCTTGACTGATAGCATCTATTTGTAATAGCAGACATATCCTGGAACATTTAAAGGGCAACTTGCACATCTTTGCTTCTTCAGGCATGACAGGGAGCCTTACAATCCTATTTATAATTTATTTTCACTTTTATTTTAACACAAGAATTTCTGTTCTCCATTTTCTAAAGAAAATACTACAGTTTAAGGTTATGACAGGATGTACTGATTAACTGAAGAGCTGGAGGGACATTTTTACTGAAGAATGTAAAGTGCTTTGTTTTGTTTTTGTGTAGCATCTCTTCAACTCAAACACCCGAACAGGATGGAAGAAAAATATCCCTTTATCCAAAAGCTGACACTCTCATTTTTCCGTTAAATAACCTCTTCAATCCTCTGATCTTGTGAGGACTTCTCTCGGCAAAAATGGTTTAGGAAGAACTTGAAATTCTGAATGTAAGCAAAACAAGGAACTATCCGCAAAGCTACAACCTTGTGAGAGACCACTAACACAACTGCTTCTGTGCCTCCACAATCTCTTGGCCAAACAGGATGCTTCCGACTTGGTGCACAGGCACAGTCCCAGCTCACTAAACCCCCTCAGCCAGCGAGGAGCGTGGTCTCGCCGACAGCAGCACAGCGACTCCCCAGCCCTTGCACACCCTGCGCTCCTGGGTTGGAGGAACGACGAGGCACACGAACCCTTCCTGGTCTGAACGGACGCACGCAGACAGGCAGCACACCCATTGCAGCCACAGAGGGACAAAGTGTTAACCTGCTTCGCTGGAAAGTTGCTTCTCCCTCTGCCCTCTCAGAAACATGGCAAAATTGGGGTCTATACTGCTTTGCAGACACTATGCTACTCACCTTTTTTCCTCCAGAATAAGAAGTTTTTTCCTCTCCACTGGAAAGGCTGGGTTTCTTCCTACCTTCCCAAGAAAAGCTCGGTGAGCCAATTAAACACCAAAGGGAGTTAGACATTAATTGATGCAATTTAGCAGGTCCAGGGCAGATACTCATACTATTAGAGGTTAGGAGTCCCACAACCAACCAGAATGTCAAAGGCCCTCAGTAAACTTGGAAGTATGAAAAGCAGATCGATCTGCTAACAGCCAGCGAAGCCCAGGGACATCTCACCCTCTCAGCAGCACACTTCTAATTCGCACAGTAGGTCCAAGACCTGGACCAGGCTGGGAAGGGGACAGTTGCTGCAGGTATCTCAGAGATGCAGGGACAACTAAAGGAAGGATGACATCCGCACGAAATAATTGTGTCACATGGTAATAAAGCTTTCCCCACGCCCCTCACTTCTCTTCCATTTGGGTGAATTTCTGAATACCACTGCTGGCTACTACTTTTACAAAATTAAGCTTCTGAAAATACCTTTGAGCTAAGCATTACTGCTGCTGCCTGGAGCGTGAAACACTGAGGAGCTTCTAGCTCAGTCACCATCATTTCAACTTGACGTGAATCTGCCATTTCTTCTTATGAACGTTCACGACTGTTTTGGATAAGTCACATCTAGCTGCTGCAATCCAAAGAGTGCCTCCATGCGATGCCTCCCCCTTTTCCCGCCGGCATGTACACACCAGCTCAAGACTAGCTCTGCACGTACGGTGGATGCAGTAGGTTCCAGGTAGATCTTGTGATGAACTTGAGGCTGCACTTGGGCACAGTGGCCAGACAGTACAGGAATAGCCATGAAGCTCATTGCACCTTTCAAAACATCTGCTGAAGTTATCCTCAAGTATGTTAATTTCTGTTTGATTTGCTATAAGGAGCAAGAAAGCAGATGTTTGCCAAGCGTGAAAAGAGAGTAACTCAGAGGGAAAGATGCTTTTTTCAGTTTTTGCAAACTGGAAATACATGTTGATAGAAGTAAACAATAGCAAAAGTTTTCTATTTTTATGCATATTAATTACAAAACAAAACTTGGACATACAAAAAAAGCTGCCTCTTAATCCTTGCTGTTGCATTTTGTCCTTTTTAAATGGAACAGCATGAATCCAAAACACAGACCAATTAGAAGTTTGCAGAGTACAATCTCAGATTACCTGAACAACCTGATCCTCTTAATTGCACTGAAATGCCATTTTTCCATAGGTAATTTAAATATTCTTTTTAAAATAACCACAGGAGATGTAGCTTGCTCCAACAGTAGCAGCACACTGTGGAAAAAGGTAGTTTCAACATCTCCCATAACCCTCCGTCATGTTCCTTCTCTTTAGCAGTGCAAGTGACCCATCTCCCTGGTGGGCTTGCTTTGGGTAAAAATTTGTCCTTCCTACCCGAGAGGTCCAGAAGAGCTGTACGTGTAAGAGCTGTACCCAGTCCCTGGAATACGGCTCTTTGCTGGGCTATATAAAGGCTAGCATGCAGCCACGCGTCTGCCCAGGAACGCAGTCCTTAGACAATGAACATGAGAAAGCCTACTAGTGGTCCGTGGTAAGGCCTTCTTCTCCCAGCGGACCCCCGGAGAACATCTCTCTCTAGTAGCGCTGCCCATTAGCGTAACACTATTCCAGTGCCTGCAGTCATATTAAGGCTGCCCATCAGGAAACTCCTGGCACCTTGAGTCGCTCTTCAAAGGGACACCAACAACTTAAATGGCATTTCTTTAAAGATTCATCCATCACTAACACTGTAAGACTTGGATGAACAGCATTAAAAGAAAAAACTTAAACTGAATATGATAGAAGAAATAAAGTTTGTTATTGTGGACACGGGCATATCCTCAGCTTCATGTTTTCTCCCACACAGGTGATCACTCCTCAGGTGATCACTCCTCATGTGTTTGTCCAGGTCTTTTGCACAGCAACAGGGACAGGAAGCGATTGTGAAATAGAATATGCAATTGCAATTGCAAAAACAAACAATTTTTACTTTAAACTGCTTTGATTTCAAGCTGACGATGTCTCGTTGACAGACTGAAGTATTTTTAGTGGTTTTTATTACATTTTTGGATAACTCTTTTCTGAAATTAGTGGCTTTCTACAATGACATATAAAAGGTGAGAGGAATTTTAAAACAGCCGTACTGTGGGGATTTTATTTTAAACTAACTCGCTTTCAATACCCACACTGTCACTTATCTAACAATTACTGAGAACAAAATCCTGCCAAATTTTCATCTGAAATGACACATCACATTATCAGGTTTCTGTAATAAATTCTTGTAGTGACTTATTTCCTTCTTTGTGATTTTCCTACTCTAGCCTCTTTTTCCATGTATTTCTTCCTTGTTTCCCTTTTAAATTCAGGTTTTTATAGTACCATTCTCTATCTGCATACTGTTATAGCCTCTTTAATCCAATCCTTTTCTTGGCTGCCTGGAATTTCATACAGGTAGGAATGTTATATTTTTTCCACATGTCAGAAAAGCGGCTGCGGCTGCTGGATCCTATTACGCCCCTATTTTTATTCTCTGGTTCATTAGCACCCTCTCTTTAGCAGACTGCTCCACTCGTAACGAACCACGCTGGTTTGCAAATGAGATGAAATTGGCAGGAAACATAAACTTCAATCTTTTTACTATAAGGTACAGTAGGACTTCATTTTCAAGTGTTAAAGGCAGAGTTGTGTAAACCATATCAGGATTAGACTAGCCCTAACCATTGCCCTTACATGAGACCTCTCCTGCAAGTGCATACCAAAGTCCTTCCCATCTGGTAAGGCCTCCACGCTAATTATCTGCGTATCACGTAGGAGTGCGTCCCCTTCTGGGTGTTAGGCTGTAGGACATAAAAGACACATCAGATGCTTTTCAATTAACAACATACCATATGGTGGTGATAAAAATCTAACTGGTTTTTAAAGCAGTACTTGCATTTGATAGCTACTTCAGCGCTATCATTATATTGCGGTCTGCCACACAGCTCACACGGGATACCATTTCCACTGGCCTCCACTCTTGGTCACTTCAGCCTGACGAAAAGCAGTTGGCAAGATCTGTCTTCTCTCCCTGGTGCCACCCAGCCCTATACAGTGGTCCCACCTCTCCGTTCTCTCTCCTCCTCCTCGCCCATGGACTCAGCAGCAGTTTGCTCCGCTCGTGCTATTCCCAACAATGAATATTACCACCACTGGCCACCTCCCCATGTGTAATCTTCTGTCTTTCCAAGAAAAATGGATCAAGCCAACACTGAATTCCCATTTTCTTTTTCTACTCCCGATTGTTTATGGCACTGTCTCAATTACAGTGCAGGGAGCTGAATATGATCTCACCTACCAGAAGTTCCTCTGAGCATGTAAAACTCCAGATTTTTTCTCCACTCTCTAAGCCTGGTTGGTGCATGCCTTGCCTGCAGAATGAATGTTCTTAGGGATTTAGGGAATTCCCTTCTTCTATGATGTCTTATGCAGATCGATATTTTAGAAAATGCAATAAAGTGCCCATGATGTTAACGCAAGGTAAAAGAAAAACCCTTAAGAATACTACGTTACAGTTATATCTTGGGAGTATAGCTCTAGTTGGGGAAATAGACTTGG